TAAGTTCTCACGCCTGAGCCCGATACTGGCGCAAGGCCGGCGGTTTGACCCGACTCGCACCACCAACCAAGAGGCCCGAGCTCGTGTCGGTGCCAGCACTAGCTGAACATCGGCCAGCAATGTTCTTCTTTACTCCTTGTAGCAGTTGCATACGAGTCACCTTAGATTATTTTTTGGTTTTAGACTGGAAATCAATGTTGGGATATTGGCGTCAGAAGTTTTTCGCCGCCCGAATCGATTTAAACCCAAAAAATCCTTGTATCGGGTAATAACTGAAAAGAGAAAGCGAAGGAAACAAATTAAATTAGCAGCAAAATGAATGCGAACGAATAAGCCAGGATTCTTAACAAGGTGCAACTTACCCAGTTCAAGGTTACACTGTGACGACGTGAAGGTAAACCCGCAGACTCGAGCTTAGAATCCTTTAATAACTTACGCCAACCATGTTTCGAGTCGTCCAATTGAGCAAGTTCTTCGAGTCTTTCTCTGAATTCACCGCTGAGCTTGGGTTACCTCTTCTTTTTGCCTACAAACACAAAAAGTTTCGACCCGTTAGTAAAAGAAAACAACAAGTCGTTAGAATATCTCGAACCAAGAAAGTGTACTTACAATAAGTAGAAACAAATCTAGTAGGGATAGTCATCCCATTAATTAGCGTCTCATGAAGGAAGTCGACCGACTGCCAGTCTCCGCCTACCCACAACCATTCTTCTTGAAAGTCGTGAAGCTTGTCAGGCATCTCGGTAATTAATTGTCTGACTTCGAGACCCTTATGCGACTTTGCCGCACAAAAGAAGCAGCCGGTGGGTGGGATGTCATCTCATTCCCGACTCCTCTTGAAGAAAAATACACTCCGCAGTTCCTCCATGATAGGAAATGGCCACTTCTTCTGAGCGTGCAGGACTATGAGACCAATGATTTTCTTCCAATTGTTGGGAGTGATCTAGCTGAAGCCGAGGCCCCAGTCCCACAGTTAGTCAGTGATCACGTTGTCAAGGGAAAACGTTAGGCCCGACCTCAAACTTTCAACGAAAATTCCGACGCATCCAGATGAAGGACAATGAATTCACTTTCTCTGGTAAGAAGCAAAGATCTTCACCGAGGGGGGAATTCAGATAGATTCTCGTACTAGGACAACTTCAGCATCAGTCATCACGCTGGGTTCCCCAAGAACTAGGGGTGGGCACGGTCTAGAATGGTCCGAGATTTGACTTATCCCGGTACCGATCCCACTTTTATAAACTGATCCGAGAATGGTCTGGGATGAGGTATCGTCTCAAATGGACCGGTATCGTTTGGGACGGGGACAAAACGATCCGGGACAAAACGGGACAAACATA